TGCGGTGTTTAGGATGGGGTAAGGTTTATGTTTCTACATCAATGAATCCCCTCATAAAGGTATTTTGCAGCATCATTTAACTCAGCAAGCAATGGCCACCATTCAGAAAGTTACCACAACAAAATCTTTTAAAGGTGCATTGATTTGATTTATTATTGTCACATGCACTGAGATAGTGAAAAGTATTACTTTGCATGCTATCCAGACAAATCTTACCTTACATAATTACATAGCTTAATAGAACAGAACGTAGAATAGAGTGTCACAGCTACAGAGAGGGTGCAGAGAAAGATAACTCTAATAAATGAGAGGTCCGTTCATAAGTCTAATAACAGTGGGGAAAAGTATCTGTTGGTATGTTTTTCAAATTTTTATATCTTCTGTTGGATGCAAGAAAGTGAAAGCGAGTATAACCGGGTGGGAAGGGTCTTTGATTATGTTGGCTGCTTTTCTGAGGTAGCGGGAAATGTAGACGGAGTCAATGAAAGGAAGGCTGGTTTTCATGATGGACGGGGATGTGTTCACAACTCCCTGTAATTTCTTGCAGTCTTGGACAGAGCAGTTGCCATACCATGCTGTGATGCATTCAGATAGGATACTTTCTATGGTACATTTATAAAAATCAATAGCATCATTGTGACATGTCGAATTTCCTTAGCCTTGTGAGGAAGTAGAGGTGTTGGTGTGCTTTCTTGACTGTAGTGTCAATGTGGATGGACAGGACAGATTGTTGGTGATGTTTATTCTCAGGAACTTGACGCTGTCTACCATCTCCACTTCAGCAGCATTGATACAGACAGGGGCGTGTCCTCCACTCCACTTTCTGAAGTCAATGACCAGCTCCTTCATTTTACTGACATTGAGGAAGAGATCGTTGTCTTTACACCATGCAACTAAGCTGTCTATCTCTTTCCAGTACTCAGTCTCGAGGTGCATCAGGTGATGGCTGAGAAAGAGACAGAGAAAATATCATAGCAAGTCCTTGTCCATAATTACACAGGCTTGCCCGATCATTAACCAGGCTCTGACAAGACAATGGGATCCTATTGTACATCAGACCCCTCACTCATACCAATATTTCATGAAGGACTGATATTTACGTGTTAAAGAGGCCTCACCTTCACTGTGGTTTTCTATTTTCTTGTCTTCATAATGTAAATCAGGCAAACACATTGTTCAATGCCATGTCTGGCTTAAAAAAATTACGATTTTGTAATATTCATCACTGCTAACAAGCTTCTTTTCTTTTGTGACTTGGGTCAAAATTGGTTTCATTCTGTCATCCATCTTCTAATTTTTTACATCTATTTCCATGTCCTCACCACCACTGCTTGAGCACAGATTTCATTAAATTAGGAATGTGAGCATTGTACCAATAAATAGCTAGTTGAATGTAATCTGGCACTCTCAATATTCAGTACAGTACACTAAATCAGTTTCTGCTTCAGATTTTTCCATTCTCCTTGACAAAATCAAGTACTGGTCAGATGAGTCAACTGGTGTTTCGTGGAGTGCTTTTGGTTGACCGTGAATATTGATGGATGCAGGAATCAATAATCTGTCACTTGAAAGGCAACTAATTTGCTGCAACCATGGTTGACTGCAACAGAAACTACAGCACAGCCTTTTGCCCATTCACATTGCCGATGTTTTACAAATGTTAATATTGTTTTGTACTGAAGTCAAAACAATAGCAATGCAGACGTTGCCATCTTTCAGACCCCCATTTTGGAGATTATGGCTGGCATCCTGATTTTATATCATTGTTGGATACTGTTGTCAGTGAGAGTTGGTGGGGTAGGGGGGTTGGTGATGGAAAGGAGGCTGGTGGGGTTGCTGGCAGGGTAGCCAGAGATAGATTGTCAGGGGTGGGATGGATAGGAGTGGTTGAAACTTAAGTAGTTGGGTCAGGAGGATTGGGATTTGAAGACACTAAATAGTTGGAGTGGGTTGGTAGTAAGGCTGGAATTGGGTGGTTAGGGAGTGGATAATTGGGTTGGAGATGGCGGGAACATGACTAGTTATAAGGTGGTGGGTGGCCAGTGGGGATGGGAAGACAGTTGGAGTGGTCGGGATGTGTGACTGCTTGAGGTAAGATGGGCTTCCCCATTGATATTTATTGCTAAAGGAATGGAGGATACAAACAGGGAAGTAAGTGTTACTGCAACTGTGAAAGGCATTAATGAAACCGTATGTGAAATATTGCAGAGAACTTTGTTCCCTTTACTCAAGGAGGGAGGTAGGTGCAATGGAGGCAGTTCAGAGGAAGTTTACTGGATTGATTCCGCAAATGAAGGGGTTTTTCTTAGGAAGAAAGATTGAGGTTTAGGCTTATACGCTCTGCAATTTAGAAGAATGAGAGGGCATCTAATTGAGGTATATAATTTGCTAAAGAGAATTGACAAAGTAGATGTAGAAAGGATGCTTCATCATTTGAAACAATCTACAACAAGATGTCATATTCTTAGGACAAGGGATGGCAGATTTGAAACACATGAGGAGAAATTACTTCTGTTAAAGGGCCATAAATCTATACAATTCACTACCCCAGAGTGCAATGCTTGCTGGGTCATTGAGTAAACTTAAGGAGGAGATAGACAGATTTTTATTAGTAATATGTTGAAAGGAAATGGAAAACAGGAAGTGGAGTCAAATGGCAGAGCAGGCTCAGGGAGCTGAATTGCCTACTCCAGCTGCCGGTTCTTAGACGGTGATGCATAGTAATGTGGCTGGACTAGTAATCCTGGCTCTGCATAATTTGAGATAGCAAGAACTGCAGATGCCGAAGTCAGAGGTAACATGGTGTGTAGTTGAAGGAACACAGCAGGCCGGGCAGCATCAGAGGAGCAGGAAAGTTGATGTTTCGGATTGGGACACTTCTTCAGAAATGAGGAGGGGGAAGGGAGCTCAGAATTAAATAGAAAGAGGAGGGGTGAGGCTGGGGAAGGTAGGTGGGATGGTGATAGGTGAGTGCAGGTAGGCAGTGGTGGGGATTGGTCAGTGAGGTGGGAGGAGTGGATAGGTGGGAGAGAAGATGGATAGGTTGTGTCAGGTCAAGGAGGCGGAGATGAGAGGGAGGTTTGGACATGGGATGAGGCCGGGGGTGGGGAGATTTTAAAACTGGTGAAATCCATGTTTAGGCCATTGGGCTGTAGGCTCCTGAGACGGAATGTGAGGTGCTGCTCCTCCAGTTTGCGGGTGGCGTCATTGTGACACTGGAGGAGGCCCAGGATGGACATATCGTCCAGAGAGTGGGAGGGGGAGTTGAAATGGCTCGTGACTGAAAGGTGGTGTCGTTTGTCATGTACAGAGCGCAGGTGCTCCACAAAACGGTCTCCAAATCTACATTTGGTCTCACCAACGTAGAGGAAGCCACATCGGGTGCCATGGATGCAGTAGACCAAGTTGATGGATGCGCAGGTGAAGCCCTGTCTAATGTGGAACATTTGTTTTGTGCCTTGAATGATGGTGAGAGGGCAGGTGTAGCACTTCCTGCAGTTGCAGGGAAAGGTGGTGGGGTTAGTGGGATAGTGGGACGAGGGAGTCACGGAGAGTTGTCCCTACGAAAGGCAGATAGGGGTGGGGAAGGAAATATATCCTCGGTTGTGTGGTTGGATTGTAGGTGGCAGAAGTGGCGGAGAACGCCCCAACCCGAAACATCAACTTTCCTGCTCCTCTGATGCTGCCTGGCATGCTGTGTTCCTCCAGCTCCATGCTGTGTTATCTCTATATAATTTGAATTCATTTACAAAGTTTGGAATATGAAGGTTATATCATTAACTGTGATATGAAACCACCATTGAATATTTGAGAAACCCTTCACGAATGTTAGAAGATAGAAAAAAACTTCTGCCAAATTAGCTGAGACAGAGTTTTAGTGCAGGGAATTTATGCAACAATTGTATAAAACATCAGTGAGGCCACAGCTAGAGTATCGTGTGCAGTTCTGGAATCCACATTGTAGGAGGGATGGGATAGCACTGGAGAGGGTGCAGTGCAGATTTACCAGGATGTTGCCTGATCTGGAGAGTTTCAATTATATAGAGAGATCAAACAGGCTGGAGTTGCTTTCCTTAGAGCAGAGGAGATTGAGAGGGGACATGATTAAGATGTATAAAATTATAAGGGGCATAGTTATCATAGACAGTAAGAAATTTACCCTTGCTGGATGGATCAATGACCAGGGCATAAATTTAAGGTAAAGGGCAGAAGGTTTACAGGGGACATGAGGAAAAACATTTTCACTTAGCAGGCAGTGGGAATTTGGAACTCACTGCCTGTAAGGGTGGTAGATGCAGAAATCGTCTTAATATTTTAGAAGTATTTAGAAGTGCATTTGCGATGCCAAGGCGTACAAGGCTATGGGGCAAGTGCTGGAAAATGGGATTAGAATAGTTAGATAGTTGTTTCTGACTGGCATGGACACGATGCACTGAAGGGCCTTTTGTGTACTGTACATCTCAATGATTCTAAATTTCTCCCAAAGTCTGGCTCCACCTTAAGCCTCAATACGAAGTGGCAAATGACCCCATCAAAATCCTGCCACTTGCAATTTCACTTGCATTGTAGATATTATGGAAGAAGACTCATGTATTTGAAAGGCCTGCAGTTAATTAATACAGCCAAGTACTGCTTTCCTACACACAATCATTTACTGTTGGATAAGCAGCATGTTGAGTGTCAGAAGTCTTCTGTGTTTTGCGCATATCATTGCGAAGGCCAGTTATGTTGTGGCAAAGCACCATTTCAACACCCCGATCGAAAGACAGAGTAGATGCCTGAATGTCCCCACACAGCTTCATGCCACAGAAATTAACCCTTCCCTTGGTCTAGGCCCGAAACGTCAGCCTTCCTGCTCCTCGGCCTGCTGTGTTCATCCAGCTCTACACCTTGTTATCTCTATACCACTTGTTTGAGATCTGGTTGACATTTTTCAGGGCAGGTAATGTCTATTATTTTGTAATCGTGGATACCAATGTAACGCATAAATAATCACAATGTTTCACATTTAAAGAGTTTCTTTTTATTAAATAATTTTCCAAAGCACAAGTTTTCAATGGTGTTAACATGGAGAAGAATATCTGCTGACAATCAGCACATATACATATAAACACCAGACTGAGCACAAATGTAAAATTTCTTTCAGGATAATGTCATTTTAACACTACCAACACTAAAAGTACACATTTTCATGTAGAATTACAATTTAATTTTGAAGCAAAAATAGGGATGGAAATTCTCCTTTCTTTAAAAAAAAGTCTATTCTCTCAATGACTTATTTGGTGTAATCACTGATGAAAATCAGCTAATTCATTGTTAGAAATTAATCTTTCAAGCTGAAAGAATAGTTACTTTAACATCCAAAAATTTAAAATATAAGAACATGTACAAATCAGACAGTTTTTATTCAGAGTACATTTCCTTACTTCAACCCATTATTAACGGACTCCATTACTTGTCATGACTTGGACTGTATCATATGTTCCACCATGGATTATTCTCAATTTATGCATCTGTATAACACAATAAGGAACCTAGTGTACTTCAAAAATGGAAATCAATATATGAATATTAATGAAGTATCTGGTGCAAAAAGCTGATGGCCTGTCATATATATATTTTTACAGGGAATTTAGCTTTGAAGCAAAACTAAGATGATCTCGGACAATGCGTTATTATTTATTGGGTTTACCACTTCCCCTGTAATTTCAATAATTCAAAGGTTCCAATGGTATTTAACTATGTAAATAAATAACCTAATGGTCTATGAAGATTAACTCATTCAGAGAGTTCTTTACGTGTTGAAAGTATATATGTTATCATTGTTAAAATCTCAGACGCTCCCTTAAAGAGATGAATGAAAAGTCGTACTTTGAACATGCTTGACAACACCCTTTAAAACATTAGAAAGTATTTATTTTATGGATTCTATTAAAATGACTTTGCAGGAGAATCAGGAAGTTTTATGCAAAAACCACATATCCTCCTCCACTCTCTTATAATTTGCTCTCTCGTATAATTTATGTCTCCACTTTCACCCTGATTTGTCATAGAATGCTTTAACTTTGGGTTTGTTCCTTTTCAGTAAAAGAGTTTACACCACTCAGTTTGTACACTTAGCCATAATGTTGTTTAAAGCTTATTCTTTGTTTTGTTTGGAACAGTGCAATAAATGGTTATGAATGTGAGGTATACATCACTACCTAAACCAGTATTCTAGCTTCATTAAGTGAAATTTTCAATACTCAAAGCAGTTATGATTTGTAAGATGACACAAAATATCAGCTGAAACAGTCATATTATGTAGCAGAACAGTAATTATCACTTTTGTTAAAGGCAAGGTACATAATAATGATTGATGTAAACAAATCATTGTCAACAATGGAGGTTAATAGCTGGTAAAATTTCTGCGTCCGATTTTCGACTGTTGTTAGATGTTACCAATAATGGATGTAACTTTTTAAATGAGAGTATTAGCTTCATGACCATTAAGTACAACATTTTGACATTACTTTCACTTCTAGCACTGATTTATTTTGCTGTTTTAGCATTAATTTTTGAAGCCTTAGTACAAATGTAGAAAATCAAATGCTGATGATTGCTTTTACTTTTATGGAGAGATGACAATCATTTTAGTTACCCAACTGAAATTTATGATACATCAGATGCTAATATTATTAATGTACTTTTGCCTGCATTAAGAAACTCGCTCTTCTTAGAGGACAAACTGAAAAGTGAAAACTAAAAAGGAACTGTATAATCTATCCGGAATAACCCTTTGGGTCACGTATTGCTTTTTGTTGAGAAGGAAAAGTAAGTGCAACAAAACAAGAAAACTGTAATTTTTTTGAGTAGGATTGCACAGCTTCAGTTACACTTTGATTGTCAAGTACCTTTCAGACCGTGGAACTGAACAAGTTTTCTTACAAATTCTATACTGTCCACATCTTGCTTATATTTCAGCGATTATTTCTTCTACAGTAGGTAATTCTTTTCATCTTGCACACTTCCTGCTTTTACTGAATCAGTTATCCATGATTCCAGTACAATTTTGAACTTCCTTTGAAATGTCATCCTGAGTAATTTTAGCTCAGAGAGACGTCGTACATCATGACCAACGATGACATGCGAGACACCTTCCGCCAAATTAGTAACGCATTGCGCACCGTGAAACCGCAACTCCAAAACTCTCAAATCTAAACTCGTGCCATGTACCTGTGTACTAACGTCACCAATTGTAGTGCAAAAATCTACATAAACAATGCAATGTCTGAACATACACAGAGGTGATGCATCCCATAGATAACGCTGTTCCAAGTCAGCAATAGTTTTAAAGGGCAAATGTTGTTCTGGTTTACTCATTCTTTTGAATATCTCCCGCAGATGGCTTTTATCAACATCAGCATAATAACTGTCTCCATAATGATCATATTCCTGGGCAAAATGCTTTTCCGTGGAAGGTGACATATGAATCATAAACTGGGGTTGCCATGGTATAAAACACTTCTTTTGCAAACAGTCCACCAACCAGTCAGCTTTGACCACATCAAGCTCATTAGCGGCAATAAGATTTTTGACACGGACATTAACCATGCCAACAATAACGCAATAAGTGTCAGGCCCAGGATTCTGCACAACCAATCCTCCACATTCAGCGATTCCCTTCTCTAGTTGAGCTTTGGGATGGTCATGAAGACCATTCAAGACACAAAATTCAACATCTTCAAAGATATTAGAAACTTTGTCAACACTAGATAGATCTTGGGCTTTAAACTGTTCTGCAATGCCGATCAATTTTTTGGACTTTGAAGGAATTTTACGCTTTTTCTTATCCAGTTCATCATCACTTAAGTCAACATGTTTTGATGCAAGTTTCCCAGAAGCTTTATCATGCAGTTGATCCAAATCGTGCAATGTCATGCAATCATGCCAATCCTTGTCATCTCTGATCTTTTCAATTCGTGGAAAACGCAAGGTGCAACCAGTTTTATACATATCACTGCTCACAATTTCAGCTGCTTTGACTTGTAGAATAACAGAATTGCACGGCTCAATGTAGACCTCTGGTTTTTCCGTGCCACACAAAATGTTTGTTGGAGGATCTCTTCTGTGGTAAGGTTTCCAGTGTTTAGCCAGTTTCAGTCCAAGATCGTACAATTCCTTCATCGTGTACCCAGAACCTACACGGCAAAGTGAGTGGAAGACTGATGGTTTCTCACCAGGCGAAGCAGACTCTGCAACAGCACACAGAAAGTGGGATATCATTCCACCGCGATGTCCTTTGCCAAAGTAACCACCAACAATTAAGATGTCAAGCTCATCTATCAAGCCATCAACATATTCTGGCTTAATTTTTGACCAGCCTTCACCACGTTTGTCTGGTTTATAAACAGACAAAGGATCTTTCACCATGATTCCTTCTTCCCTTTTGTCTATAGCTTCATTTAGGGCATCAGCTACATCCTTTCTTGTTTTTATTTCAGTTTTCTCCACAACCTGAATGCGCCCTGGCACTGATATGAAGAGTGTTTGAAGAATTTCATGTCTTTTCCTGAGGGTTTCATTTGCCAGCTTCTGGTTATTTACCATTAAAACATCAAAGACACAGAAACAAGTTTGCAATTCTGAGTCTTCCACCATTCTTTTGATGTCAAACTTGTTTCCCTTCTGCATAAAGGCTTGGGTGATGGGGTTATAAGCCATCATCTCGCCATCAAGAATGCAGTTTTGCAAATTGCTCTTGAAGGTATTATGAATGAATGGTGTGAGGGATCCTTGCAATGAAGAAGCACCAAATTGCTGGGTGTAATCATATCCATTGCGCGAAAAATATTTGTAAACATCTCCATCCTTGTGGAGCTGGATACGCTCTCCATCCAGTTTAGTTTCTAAATAGAAGCTCTGATTGTGCATTAACTTTTCAATGTGCTTTATGTTGGCAATGGCAGCAAGCATTGGCTTAAAAGGAGAAAACATCATGATGGAGACATCACTGAGGGACACTGTAGGATCATGGAGCTGTACACAAACTTTCTCCAGATCTGTTGTTACACTGTGAAGCTCTGCCGCATCTGCATGGAATAACTGAAATACAGTCTGCTGACTAATACCCAATTTCATATCCTTCAAGATCATACGAATAAGCCACTTTTGTTCCAAAGCTGAACTCCGACAGATTAGCTGCAGCAGACTCTTTTTGACCAAATCTTTTTTCTTGGCAGCATTATTAAGTGCAATAGAATCCAAATGTTCGTTTACCTCCTGCACCGTTAGCGTGCCTTTAGTTGGACACCTCTGCTTCAAAACAAAATACGCAATCACTGCAAAGTCACCAGCCTCTCCATGACAGCTGGTTGGAGATCTATAGTTCAGGAGTTTAAGTGCATCTTTTCCATCTTTTGGCAAGCCAAGAACATCAATGTAAAGTTTGGCGAGCATTGTCTCTTTTATTCCATATGCCATCCTCTCCCTCTCGAGCTGAGGAAGAATTAGACGCAGTGCCGGGTAGAAGGAATCAGTAGTGTTTAAATCATTCTTGTGGAGGGTGTTATGGAAATTTCTCCATGAATCTAGAAAGTCCTTGAAATACTTATTTTTATCAGGTCTGGACTTAGACCTTTGTATTTTTTCCAGAGTTAAACACAAGTCAGAAAAGGGCACTTTACTGGCCACAGTCTTTATCTGTGAATTATTTGATATAGATGCTACAGACATGTCGAACTCGGAGTTCACAGTAGTGCACAGATGAAACCTACCAATTCAAAAGAGAGAGAGGAAACATTAGGACAGACCATCAAAGCTTGGTTAAAGAAAAGTGAAGCATTTGTCACATCTCAGAAATCATTCATAAGATGGGGATGAATTAAATTAAGACAATTCATGAAAATAGTTGACAAAGCACATCCTGGATTCTCGACATTGTGGACACTACATTGTTTTGTATAATGCACCATATTTAATGCTGAAGTTAACAAACTTCAGTGCCTAAATGGGATTTAATTGCTCTTTAAAGGATGAAGCTATAGGAAGGCCTGAGTATGGAGAAGGAAATGAAAAGGGGAATGGATATTTTTCTTTGTATAAGTAACAAGCTTATTGAAAAAAGTCCAAAAAAAAAAGTAGACTTCGTTGTCACCTGATCAACAGACAAAAAAATGTGACTGATGTTGCAACACTCAACAGAAGATGGAGACATGCAGTTCCTCAACTACAGTATCAACTGTGACATTGTCAGTTATGGCACCAGTAAAGGTGAGAATGAGAAATAACGCAATAAAGCCTTCAGGGATATGGACAAATTACAAGAACCTTATTTCAGAGGCAAGTACAAATATGCTGCAGAGGCTTTAGAGACACTAATTCATTTCAGTAAAGGAGTGAGGCAAGCCACCATAAACAACCACTTGTGGTTGGTATCATCGACATCACATTCCAGTCATCTAACCAGCTGAGATATCCAAACACCCAGACAGAGCAATTACTCTATTCGAAAATAACACCAAGAAACATAAATGGATAATGGAAGTAGTCCACTAGTTTAAGGGGAAAATGATGAGAGCTTAAAAGCAAGCATAAAATTGGTTTTTAATAATAGGAACTAAAACAAATAAAGCCGGAAAAAAAACATTTTTGAGGAAGGGTCACTGGACCCGAAACGTTAACTCTGCTTTCTTTCCACAGATGCTGCCAGACCTGAAATTTTTGTTTTTGTTTGTAAAAAGTCAAATGTGTTAGGTAAATGACTAGTGCAAAAAAAATCAGCACAGAAACAAAACACATGGTCTGTGTCATCAAATAAACCACTAAGTGAATCTTACATGCTCAATTTGGCCACAGTAATATTGATAAATAGGACAGTCAGTGGCAGAAAGAATATTTTGAAGATCTATGTACAATGTCCGGAGCATGCTGAGTGCATACCAGGTCTGGATATTGCTGGGGATCTTTTGGAACAGGAATAAAAATTTATTCTAAACTGTGAGGTTTTTTTATTCATTAACAGGAAGAGGACGTCGCTGGCTAGGCAGCATTTATTGCCCATCCCTAATTGCCCAGGGGCCAGTTCAGAGTCAACCACATTGCTGTGGGTCTGGAGTCACATGTAGACCAAACCAGGTAAGGATGGCAGTAACTAAAAGACATTAGTGAACCAGATGGGTTTTCTGACAATCGAAAATGGATTCATGGTCATCATTAGATTCTTAATTCCAGATATTTTTTATTGAATTCAAATTCCACCATCTGCTGTGGCAGGATTCGATCCCAGGTCCCCAGAATGTTAACTTGGTTTCTGGTTTAACAGTCCAGCGATAATACTGCTAGGTCATCGCCTCCCCACGCGAGTGCTCAAATGTAATATTTCTTAATCAAATGAGGGAATATTATGCTGGGGTTGGGGTGGGAAGAATAAAGTCTTAGACAGGGTGGAAAATAACAAAGTTTAAATGATAAAAGGGATCATAGTATAATGCATAAAGAAATGACAATGGGACCAAGAAAATATACAAAAGGTGTATCAAGAGGTGTAAATGAGAACAGAATCACCATGAGTAGCTAATGCAAAGGGTAGAAGGTTCAGAGAGGATTTAAGGAAAAACGTTTTCACCCAGAGGGCGATGTGCAGATAGAACTCAATGACTGAAAGTGTGGCAGAAGCAGAAATCTCAACATTTTAAAAGCATTTAAATGACAACTTGAAGCATCACAGCATGCAAGACCAGGGGCCAAGTGAAACCAGAGTAGATAGGTATTTGATGAGTGGCTGCACATGCTGGGCTGAAGGGCTTCTTTCCATGCTGTAAAACTCTATGACTCTATCTGGGAGGCATCATTTGAATGGGTGTCAAATCTTGATTTGTTACTGCCAGTAAATGGAACTGATGAAGGAGATGGCAAAACAAGGATTGGACTTGCTTCTATTGCTTTTGGGAGATCAAGCAGCACATGGAAAGTTCAAAAACAAAAACAGAACATGTTGGACGCATGCTGCCAGGCTTGCCGAGTTTCTGTTTTTTTGTTTCATATTTCCAGCATTCGCAGTCCTTTGATTTTTATTATGGAAAGTTCAAAGTTTTTAGGTAAAAACCAAGACAAACGTCTATGTAAGAATGGTTTTCCCCATAATCTTCTGTGGATCTAAGCACTGGAATGAGAAAGGTTGACGAATTGTGACATTTTGAAAAGTATCCATCTTACTCAGGAGGTCGTGCTGGACGTCTTAAAATGCATAATGGTTGATAAATCCTGGTACCTGATCAGCTGTATCCCAGAACCTAATGGGAAGCTAAGGAAGTGATTGCGGGGCCCCTTGCTGAAATGTTTGTATCAGCGATAGCCACGGGAAGGTGTCGGAAAACTGGAGGGTGGCTAACGCAATGCCGTTATTTAAGAAAGGTGGTAAGGAAAAGCCATGGAACAATAGTCAAACGAGGTCGATGTCAGTTGGGGGAATCGGAGGGGCAGGATTTACATGTATTTGGAAAGGCAAGGACTCATTCGGAATCGTCAAATATTGCTGTGGGGGGGAAATCGTGTCTCACTAACTTGATTGAGTTTTTTGAAGAAGTGACAAAGAAAATTGATGAAGGCAGAGTGGTGGATGTCGTCTATATGGACTTCAGCAAGGCATTCAACAAGATTGCGCATAGCAGACTGGTTAGCTCACATGAATTCCAGGGAGAGCCGGTCAGTGCATTGAGTATAGGAGTCGGGATGTCATGTTGCAGGACATTGGTTAAGCCACTTTTGGAACACTGCATTCAATTCTGGTTTCCCTGATATAGGAAAGATGTTGTTAAACTTGAAAGGGTACATTAAAGATATACAAGAATGTTACTGGAACTGGAGGGTTTGAGCAGGGAAGAGGCTAAATAGGCCCCAGGGAAAATAGCCCTAGCCTCGGAGGCTGAGGGGTGACCCTATAGAGGTTTATAAAAGCGTGAGGGGCACAGATAGGGTGAATAGCCAAGGTTGTTTTCCCAGGCTAGGGGGAATCCAAAACTAGAGGGCACAGGTTTAAAGTGAGAGGGGAAAGATATAAAAGAGATCTAAGGGACAACTTTTTCACACAGAAGATGGTGCACGTATGGAATGAGCTGCCAGAGGAAGATGTGGAAGCTGGGACAATTACAACATTTAAAAGGCATCTCGATGGGTATTGTAACAGGAAGGGTTTAAGAGGGATATGGGCCAAATACAGATTAATTTAGGCTACCTGGTCAGCATGGACAGCTTGAACTGAAGGGTCAATTTACTCTACAATTTTACAACAGATTTTAAACACGCATGAAGAACTGGGAGTGTCTAAGAAGCACGCAACCACGAATGACATTATAACATGGCTTAGACAAGAAAGCACTTGTACACATATGTTTGGGCACGGTTCAAGAATGGGAAGGGCTGGGCCAAATCTGAATAGCCCTGTATAAACATACATGAAACAAGATGAGGAATTTGTCAAGAGTGGCTGGCCGCAGGGAGGGAGGGATACAGCTGACAGAATAGTCCAGGCTGGTTCAGTTTTAAAACACTGTAATGAATTAACTGGCCGCAGTGATAAGAGGGGAATGAAGGTGCAGATCATGGCGCCGAATGACCAGAGTCTTCATGGATAGGGCAGCCACCGCCTTCCTGGTGACACCTCACTATCATCAGTGTTAGGGAATAGCCACTATCAACTTCGCCAAGCGCCGCCTCTGGTACTAACCAACACCATTAACAACAACAATGTACTGAGAAGTGGGTCGCGCTGGCTGAGGGTAAACTCACAGTTTAAGGTAAAAACACCACACCTCCTCGACCCCGGGGTCAGCCAGGCTCCGCGCAGGCGCACACTGATCAGCAGCCGTTACTGCACAGGCGTACACCGACACACGGGACCTGCCGTTACTGCACAGGCGCACAGCGACACACGGGACCTGCCGTTATTGTTTGAGAGATAGTAGGAACTGCAGATGCTGGAGAATCTGAGATAACAAGGTGTAGAGCTGGATGAACACAGCAGGCCAAGCAGCATCAGAGGAGCAGGATGACTGACGTTTCAGGCCTACACCCTTCTTCAGTTATTGCACAGGCGCACATCGCCACACGGGACCAGCCGGTACTGCACAGGCGCATACCAACATACGGGACCTGCTAGTACTGCACAGGCGCACACTGATACACAGGAGCTGCTAAACCTGTTTAGGCGCACTGAAAACAGAATAAATGCTGGAAATCACAACGTGTCAGGCAGAATCCGTGGAAAGAAAGCGAGCTAACGTTTCGAGTCTAAATGACTCTTCATTAGAATTGCGTAGGCGCACTCTGACAAACAGGAGCTACCGGTACTGCACAGGCGCACACTGGCCAAGTGGAGCTACCGGTACTGCACAGGCGCACTTCCAGTGGGTCGCCATATTGTGAGAGAGCGGAAGCTGCCCGGTGTTGCTGTCGTTGTCATTTCCGGCCTGTTGCTGCCCTCTCTCTCCCTCCCTCCCTTCCCAACACCCCCCCTCCCTTCTCCGTTTAAAGATGGAGTCTGTGTGTGAGTGAAGCGGCTGAATGCGGATTCTGTCCGAGCAGTCAGTCATGAAGGTCTGTGTTTATATTTCATGTTTTAAAGCTGGCCACGCTTCTCTTTTTTGCTGTTCCAGTGGCGGTTCGTCTTCCCGTCCGATCGCCTCGTGCTCCCTGTATTGGGATTTACCCGGGGGAGACCACCTCCACGGTCAGGGAGTGAAGCCCACCTTCTTCCCCCACCACATCTACAACATCATCCCTCTCCCACCCACCCCCCCCGGGTCAGAGAGTGAAGCCCACCTTCTTCCCCCACCACATCTACAACATCATCCCTCTCCCACCCACCCCCCCCGGGTCAGAGAGTGAAGCCCACCTTCTTCCCCCACCACATCTACAACATCATCCCTCTCCCACCCACCCCCCCCGGGTCAGAGAGTGAAGCCCACCTTCTTCCCCCACCACATCT